CAGAATTGCGATGATGATGATGATGATGATGATGATGATGATGATGATGATGATGATGATGATGTCGACATTTTAGACATTTACATAAAATTTCGGCTTCTTGGACATTTCTATCATTTGTACAGACATACTTAACTTTTTTGTTTCAAAAGATAAACACATGCGGATTTTTTTTAAATGATTTGGAATATCTTCTTTACAAAAGTATGTATTTAATTTGTTTAACAATTCTTTTAAAATAACTAATTTTTATTAAAAGTTCGGGATTTTTAAAAAAAAACGGCATTTTTTGCTGCATATTTATCTAATTTAAAAAAATAATTATCGGATGCACTCGTTCTTCAAGCTAACGATTAAAATCCATCGAAAAATGCATATTTTCCCGATATGTCGCAGTTTGACGTCGCGAAAAATAACATATTACGTTAGCAACGTCATTACTTCTGGAAGTAAGAGCATCAACGGTACCAATTTTACTGCACTAGATGCGTATTTTCACAATACATGTCTCTTCAATGGTACTAGAGGCCAACATATTTGAAAATACAAAATTTTATAAGTTTAGCCACAGTCATTTTTACAGTTAAAGTAAGCTATATCAACTGCACGCTCTCAACTGTTTAACTTTTATAATGTTTTCTTTTTTTAACCATTTATTAAAAAAAGGTACCACTTGTGAATCGAACCCGGAGTTTTGGATTTTTAGCCTCGGTTGATAAGTCAGTGTCTTACAGACCAAGGGGATGTCCCGAGCTTGATCTCTCGCTGGTACAGTGGTAATTATGGAAGGAAAATCAAACTATACTTTTAAATTTGCTGCCCAACCTAAACCTCACGTTGAATTAAGGTTTAGGTGGAGTTAGATGTGTATATCGTCACGGTACAATGAATAATAAATCTAGAATATAGAAGTATAGCAGTGCTTCCGTAAAGACCGTTTTCCATTTGCTGCTTTAGAAAACTGTTTCTTCATCTCTAGCGCGCACTACTGTTCCAGCAGTTCTAGGACTGATCCCCGGCTTGCAAGTTCGGTCGGCTGAAAAATCATGCTCTACTGTTACACAACCATTGCTGAACATTGCTTAAATAGCGTTGAGTCAATTCGTGTTCTTCATTGTATAATCTACATTTTTTAATTCATTATGGAGGACAAGATCAGCTATGTAATTTACATAGTACACTCTCTTAAGTAATTTTTGATATTTTAAAAACAACTCCTACCATAGTCTTTCCTTGTAAACGTCAAAGAACTTTTTTCTATAATCGATGTGAAATTCATTATTTACAGGTATCACTATACAATCTATTTTGGTCCAAATTCAATAAATATTAAAGTAGTTAGGTTTTTAATTTAACTAAAATTATTGTATTACATGTCCTATAGTCACTAATTATTGCCAATCGTTTATCTTCAAATTGCAATTGGATCTATAACAGCCAGATCATTTTTTATATATAGATTCTATAATTCCCTCTTTCACAAAAGATATTAAGAATATTAAGTTGAATATAGGAAATTCAACCTTAATTTATCAAGAGTTATGGGGATGGAAACAAAAGCTTCAAATAGTGATATAAATATTAAATGACAGAGATATATGATCGATATAAAAATATATATAATGTTGTTGTTCATACATTGATTAATTTCATAAAGTAACTAAAATAAAATAAAATAAAAACTTATTTTATAATAGTGTCACATATAATTGATTAGCATCATACAAAATAATAAACAAGACATACTATTAGATAAACCCTAATTGTTCTGTTAAAGTAGGACATAATATATCCTACATGCTTTTAAATTACTATAAACTTTGACACTGCTCCAGAAAATTCCGAGACTGCAATGAAAAAGGTAAACAGTATCTGTGATTAGGCATTCTGTACCTCTTCGTAACGACAAATTTTATCCGTGCAATATAATAATACATTAATGTACGAAAAGTCGGATCAATGTCTACAGGCATGACGGAAAAAAAAGTCCGACATGGTTAATTGTAGAATCACAATCGGAAAATGAAAGTCATAAGACTTGCCGTTGAAGTGTGTCCAACTTCAAATATAGCTTTTTGTATTTTAAATATATAGATTAGAGAACTTACATAGAATAAATATGTATTCACAGGATTATGACGATCAGATAAATGTTTTTGTGCGGTCTTAGATCTTAACATACCCGAATAGTTGTCTGATTTGTAATTTTACCGATTGTTTCCTTTTGAGTGAGTGTGGATTCGTATTGATGGCAGTTGATGCAAGCATATAGCAGAAGATGCTTACCATGTCGACGAACCCGGCCTTGCTCCTTTTTGTGTGCATGCGATTCTCCTTTTTTGTTACCTTGATTTGTATCATCTAAATCGGTTAATGTGATGTGAATATCGGTGAGTTCATCTTGCCTTATTTAATCTCCTTTCATTCAAAGACACCAATAAATAACCAATTTTATTTGAAGGAATTAATCTATGAATTAAAAACAATATAGTAAAAACATCAATGAGACGGCAACCAAAAAACCATAGACAGGTGCTAATAAAATATAAATGTCAAGCTCTCGATCTTCAAGATTCTGCAGAAGAAGTTAAATGAATTAACAAAGTCTATCAAAGATATCCCATCAACACCTAATTCCCTGAAATGATAAAACACAATATGAAATGAGAAAACACAGTATGAAATGATAAAACACAATATGAAATGATAAAACACAATATGAAATGAGAAAAACACAATATGAAATGATAAAACACAGTATGAAATGAGAAAACACAATATGAAATGAGAAAAAACAATATGAAATGAGAAAACACAATATGAAATGAGAAAACACAATATGAAATGAAAAAACAATATGAAATGAGAAAACACAATTTGAAATGATAAAACACAATATGAAATAAGAAAACACAATATGAAATGATAAAACACAGTATGAAATGAGAAAACACAATATGAAATGAGAAAAACACAATATGAAATGATAAAACACAGTATGAAATGAGAAAACACAATATGAAATGAGAAAAAACAATATGAAATGAGAAAACACAATATGAAATGAGAAAACACAATATGAAATGAAAAAACAATATGAAATGAGAAAACACAATTTGAAATGATAAAACACAATATGAAATAAGAAAACACAATATGAAATGATAAAACACAGTATGAAATGAGAAAACACAATATGAAATGAGAAAACACAATATGAAATGAGAAAAACACAATATGAAATGATAAAACACAGTATGAAATGAGAAAACACAATATGAAATGAGAAAACACAATATGAAATGATAAAATACAGTATGAAATGAGAAAACACAATATGAAATGAGAAAACACAATTTGAAATGAAAAAACAATATGAAATGAGAAAACACAATATGAAATGATAAAACACAATATGAAATGAGAAAAAACACACATTAACGAAAATCGAGACTCACGATAGGCACATGAACACATGACGGGAATAAGCTTATCTAAAAAAAAAAGCAACCGTCCTTCTATACTATCGACAAGTCTACTAGTAAAAGATTCTTCATAGAATTAAATTCTATAACTAGTATAAGAACTGAGAGCATCGGTTCTTTTTCTTTAACTATGGTCTCGAGCATCACTTTACCGTCAAAAGTATTACAAATAAAACATCACAACTGCATCGTATTTATAAAAGAATGCAAATATCGTATCGAATAAAACAATAGAAATACCGTATCGAATAAAACAATTCATATCATTTTGGGGCGCTTAATAGCTTGCTGTTCGGTGTGAGCCAAGGCTCCGTGTTGAAGGCCGTACTTTGACCTATAATTGTTTACTTTTTACACATTGTGACTTGGATGAAGAGTTGTCTCATTGGCACTCATATCATATCTTCTTATTTCTATAACACCGTATCTAGTATAACAATACACAATTCCGTATCGAGTTAAAAAAAACCACAACAATACGGAACAGAAAACGACAATACAAAATACCGTATCGAGTAAAACAATATACAATTATAGCCTTTGTATGAGGTCGATACAAGGATATATTGACCTGAAAGAAGTATATTGACTGAGGACGAAGTCCGAGGTCGATATACTTCTTTGGGTCGATATATCCTGTATTGACCTCATACATAGGCTATAATTGTTATATTATTAATTTCCGACCATATTTGTATCAAAATCGTCATTTGATTTTGTTGGAATTTTATAGATATCATATTGTCTCATAGACAATAACAACATATTAGCTGTTATTTCATTTACTTTTTATGTTGTTTTTTTTTTTACATCTTATGTATTTGAAGATTTTTTTTCTTCAAATAATCGATCATAGATATTTTTTTTATAAATCTTTTAACAATATCATGAAATTCATTACATGACGTCACAAAGTATATCGGTTTTTTTAAAAATATTCTAAAAATAACCGTGCAATATGCTTTTTGCTATCCGCCGTTTTCTAAATACCTTCGAAAATATAGTTTAACATGTGACTATCCCTGAACGAATCAAATTAGTTAAAATATACGAATTAATAATATTACAAAATACTGTATCGGTAAAAAAATGTCAAATTACTGTTTTGAGTGATACAATACAAAATATCCTATCGAAAAATGCCATTTGTTAACTTCAACATGTTAAATTAATTAACATCGAGAAGTGTAGAAATGACGATCTATCCAGTTACACAAAGTTTCAATTTAAATGAAATCTTAATAATAGCGTTAAATCACACGAATGAAGATGAAAAGAATACTTACTAAGTTTAGTGCGTCCGAAGCTCTTTTCCTAATTTACCTTTAGCAGGAACTATAAAACCCAAAAATTAAGGAGTTGGTACCTTAATTTTAAAATTATTTCTAAATCTATTAAGGAGAACTTAGGGTATAAATCATGAAAGTACCGATGTTCTAACTAATGAGTTGATGATACCCTCGGGACCTATAGACTACTTCCAAATTGTAATTGTGAAGTTAATAATATAACATACACCAAGAACTTCTTTTACTCAAATCCCTTCATTTCAAACGATATGAAATACGGAGATATGGTATGATTGCTAATGATACAACTATCTACCAGATCTAGAGGACGAGAATGTAAACAACTACAAGTCACCATAGGGCCTTCAACAATCAGAAACAAGGGCATCTCCACCAGTGTTATTCGCTGTGTAAATGTCTTTATACTATCGCATTAATGAATACCTCACATCTCCTGATATTCAAAAACTACATTTTGCAGTAAATTTGATCTGTCCAAAAACATTAGTATTTTAAAACTGTATACCAAACATCATATCGTGTTGGATATTTCTTAATGATGATATCTTTAATGACAACATCTTCTTATGTAAGACAATATGAAAAAAGAACTAAATTTAGAAAAAAACCAATATACCAATAACCCGAATAATTCAGTCGTTATATTCCACTGCTCTATGATGGCTACATTAACGAGTGGGAGAGTCGATCACGGGGAGGGACTGAATTATTCGGGTTAATATACCAACGATATATGATTGGAGACGATAACGTGAACAACGATTAACGCCATTTTAAGCACGTTTGGCTATATCATGGCGGCCTGTTTATATTGTTAAAGAAAGCTGTATTACCCGGAGAAATCCACCGACCATCGACAGGAAATGCAACGTTTACAAAAATACATTGTAGTCATATTTTAAAATTCCATCAAAACACATTGTTTACTTATATTTCATCACAACAATCTTATCTTCATCATCATCACCATATGCTTGTACTCACAGAAGTTTTGTTCTTTGATCATAAGCAACATATCGAGGTGATATAATGTCACCACATGAAGCCAAGATCCTACCATATCCATTGAGGGTGTTTAGTTGATAAATAGCATTCCGCCGTTTACTTGCAAGTATCAATTTGTCAAGATCTTGTAGAAAGAATAAACCTCTTGGACTTGTAAGCTGTTCAGACCATTTTTTCTGTCCCTTAAAATCTATGCACGTGACTGCCCTTTTACTCATTGCAGAAATGAATAAACGCTGGTTTGCTTTGTCCAAGGCAAGTCTTATAGTATGTCCAGTAAAGTAGGCATATTGTTTAGCCTGATGTATTTTATGAAGGCAGACACCGTCTATCGTCAGGATGAGTATGTAGCCATCTTCGCGTTCATCTATTTCTACTGCAAATATGTCTTGATTATAAGTGATACTGAAAGGTTTTCCATAAGAATGCATATCAAGTTTGTCTTTCATTGAACTCGAAGGGTCTACAGATGTGACATCGAAAATTTGTATTTTCCGATCATGTGGAAATGTGACAGCAAACCTACTATCGAACATCCTAGCTATTCCTCTGGGTTCACCAGCTAATATGATCGGTTCAAATTTCTTTCCAGAATTAACCACTGACAATACTCTTAATACCCTATTACTATAATCAGCTATGACAATCCTTTCTTCATCTAGGATGACAAAACCACAAATCCTAGTTGGAACATGTAACTTGTCTACTGGTATCGGTATTGTAAAACACCGCTCAATATCCTCATCCATTTTAACAATGCAATGTTCACAATCTTTTTTATTTATAGTTTCATTTTCTATAAATAAAGATTTATGTACATGGTTACATAAACATTCTCTACACAAAAGTCTTTTGCACTGAAAACAAACTTTAACAGGATTACCAGTACTGCATGTCATACACTTTACACTGTGACTGCCTGTTTCAATGTGTTTTACTTGAAAAATTGTATGAGACGGTGGTTCCTGGCCATGGTGCTCGGAACATGATTCGCAATAAAATTCTTTACACTCAAAACAAAATGAAAAGGCTGTCATTTGATCACATGTTTTACAGCAACAACTTTTCGCGATCAGGATTTCATCATTCGAATCTAAAATGTACAATTATATATATATATTCTATATGTATAATTACCTTATATATATAATTACCTTACATGTATGATTCATTAGAATCCGTAATTTTTGTTGGCTGACATCAATCGAGAGGCATCCTACATGTAATATCAAATTTTATTTCCATATAATATACAACAGCTATGACTGCACGTGCTATCCGTGACACTGTTAAAATAATGCATTGAAAAACAAACGAAAAGCTTGATTTAATTCTTTAATTTCTTGGTTGTAGCATAAAATGTAATTAAAAGAATTTAATGCTTCTGAAAATTAAAATCCTGGCCTCGTAAGAGCTAAAAATTAATAAATTTGCATAAGACAGTATGAAAATGAATATTTTGCAAAACAAATTGCAGGAATCAGTTGTGCACAAAAGTGAAAATAAATAATAAAATTGCATTGCGACAGATAAAAAGTCAATTCGCAAAGTTCCTTCTGCCCTCCTCCCCGGAATATCAGATGGTCGCCCCCTAACAGACTCGCCAACATACACGGACACATTATTCTCAATTTAACGTTAAATCATAGTGCATGTCATTCTAATTATTTATGTTCGTAAATGTAACGTTATCAAATAACAAAATGCACATCTTATCTAAAAGGCCAACATAAAGTCTTTCAAAATAGTTTGAACTAAACTTACCCAACAATGAAAAATAAAGATTTGTTTGAGAGACATGTTTTGTGATATTGTTTCAGTGACGTATGGTACACATCTTGTTTTGTTCATACAGTCAACGTTGTCATTTTGAGTATTTATAATACGTCATATTTAAATGTTAGTTCATATCCTAAAGAATGATTATATTATGGATTATTCTAAAATCCTAAATCGTATCTTCAGCCTATTTGTATAAATTTTACTAATTCAGAAGGAAATTATCGAACTATGAACAGCATTCATAACTTGCCAATTGTAAAACCACTTTATAGAGACAAACCACAGTCTTTGTTTCAAGTTAGAATAGCAGTGATAATTATCTTATGATAAGTTATCATCTGCAATCATCTAAGACGGAAAAATAAAATTGAAGATAAGTATACATGTGACCATGTTATATGTGTTCATCTCATGCCTGCTAGATGGGAATAATAGGATTTCATTTTATTTCAGAGTGGACGGATAGATTTTGTTTGTTTATTCTTTCTGGCTGTTATATGTTTGAAAAAAAAAAATACTTCAAGTAATGAAAGACTACCAAAAGTTTCAGCTTCAGAGAAAACTAGAAAGACAACGTCACTTTTTCATTACCTTATTATGCGACATCGTATGAGAAATCCCCTTTGTGAGGTGCAATTGTCTTATTAATATAAAAATAAGGAGATGTGGTATGATTGCCAATAAGTCAACTATCTACAGAAGCAATTATAGGCAACCGTACGACCTTCAACAATGAGAAAAACCCATACCGTGTAGTCAGCTCTAAAAGGCCCCGACATGAAAAATACTAAACAATTTAATTGAAAAAACTATCACTTCTTAATTTTTAACAAAATTTACGAAAAACAAATATGACAGACATAAACCAACGATTATTCATCAGATTTCTCCATCCCATTATAGAATTATCTAAGGAATCAAGTCCAGAAGAACTTTTTTTAGAGACATGGTTTCAAAAAGCAATTGAAGTAAGAATGGGCTCGACAGCTTGTCGTGCTAAGCACATAAATTGAAGTATCGAGAAACAGTAGGTGTCTGACAGATCCACAAAGCGCTCACACGTTACGGTTAAATAAAAAACCATTTGGTGAAGTTATTCCAAAGAAATCAGTCACGAATATATTTGTTGGACGAATGAACAAACGGACGGAAGGACATAATGACAAAGCGATTGCAACATGACCCCAATTCTAGAGTGGGAGTATAATATATCATAAGTTAATAAATTCAAGACAACATTTACTTTTTAGATATTGTTACCAAAACATATCAAGACCAAACAAACACTTTACTTTTGCAAACCAAATTAGTGCAATGCCATTTTATTTGGTAATATGTAATTAAGATTGATATAATAAAAAGCCAAACTGAATTAAAGACACTATTCTCTCAATTTTGTAGTAAAAGATATGTGAACAAAAAGGTTTAACGACACATGTAAAATTATACTAAAATGTAAAAACAAAACCACCGAAGAACTATTAACAAGGCTTGTATATTGACCTCTGATCGTTTTGTTTATGTTGTTGGGTTATTGTCGCATTGACGCACACCTTTACTCCTCTTTCATTTATATTTAAATGTTGAAATTTTAACAAACACATTTTTTTTGTTCAATATAAATGGTACGTTAATTAAGTTTTTACATTTTTACATTATGTCTCTTCTTTTAAGTGTCATTTTGATTTTCATAAAGGTTGTTATATTTTTTCAATGTTATCAATTCAGTCATGCTTTATCTCGAAAATGTCGGAACCGTATGGAAATGTCAAAATGATGCATTTGTTTATTCTACCACATCCAGTGTATTTACATCTTATTTTACTCCAGGAAATTATTTGGACTTCAGGAAATTATTTGGAATTAATGACGAATGTTTTCATAATTGGGTATGTATTTTTGAAATTGAAAGCATATGATTTACATGTTCAGAGATATATTAAAACAGAATAATATTTCATTTCAATATTTCGGTCTCTCGTTTAAAATAAATCAGTCTACAATCAAACCTACACACCTTTGAGTAAGGGTTTTCCATCATCATTTCTTTGAGAACTCTTTTTAAAGAAATCTGAAAAATATTTAAAAAGAAATAACTATTAACTGTTGTGTGGTGTTGTTCTTTCACTTAAGGTTTTTGTGTGCTCCCTTGGTATTTTCTAACTTTTTTAGATTACAAAAACTCGATCCTTTCAGTTAAAAATCATAAGACTATTAACCCTAACGACTTGTTTAACCTGTACTAAGGTCAATGTTCTCCTTAAACTGGTAGTTGGATTTAGTATTCCCAAACCACAGACAAGAAAAAAGATTACATGCTGCACAGCTAACCATCTGAAGCCAGTTTTGTGCAACAAAATATAAATTTTTACCCTGGCATTAAAGAGAAATAATTTTTATTCAGTCATTGTATATTAAAAATTTAATCAGATACCTGACCAGGCTTACAATTTTGCATACAAAAGATTCATCAATACGACTCGAATTAAAACATTTGAAATGCCATGTTATTACGAAGTTGAAGAGCATTGAGGAAACAAAATTCCGAAATGTTTTGCCAAATACTGCTTATAAGTAATCTAATCTTCGGTGGTAGAAAGTTATTAGTATTTTGAACAATTCAAAGGTTTGCAAAACAGATAATCTATAATTTTGACCATATCAATGAAAATTCATGTCAACACAGAATTACTGACTACTGGGCTGGTGATACCCTCTTAATTTACAGAGGAATCTGTATGATTTATGAGGGGCCTGATGGGGGGGGTCTCATCACGATTCACGAATTGATTTTTTTGTCAATCACGATTCACAGAAAATAAATTTCCATGATCACGGATCTCGAAAATATAAAAAAAAAAAATCTGTAGAAAAACGGATCACGATAGCGAAAATGCGCCGATCACGAAGAACAAAAATAACCCATCAGGCCCCTCATTTATAGAAATTTGAATGTGTCCCATAATATGTTTTTAACAGTTTTTAATCAAAATTTTAATCATATTAAAAATAAATTTCAGTGTTCTTTTCAAAACAGAGGACAATAGTTTAATAATCATGGAAATAATGTTACAAACAAATTACTTATAAAATGAAGGAAGTTGATAGTTGACAGTACAAAATTTTGCTGATTTTACAGTAAAGTAAATTATTTCCCTTTAATATTAGCAGATTAGTAATTGCTTTAGAAAAAAATATCCACATTACAATTACGCACTAACTTGCTGTTAGAAAACAAAGCTATAAATCATTGACCTACAAAACAATGTTTTGAACTAATTATTTTTAAAATTTATTTAGGATGGAAGTTTTCATGTCAAAGTTAGACCTTTTTAAACCAGTGACTCATATAATAGTAAGTCATTATTTTGTAATAATTTCATGACATAGACAATAACTAGCTGGAGTTGGATGGTAAGTATGACTTTTTCTCTAATTCTTTGGCAATTTAACCCTCTACGGACCCATTGTTTAAAAAAATTTAGTCAACGTGTGGTAACCGATGATATCAGAAGATGATTGGATGAGTTTAAGGGTCATAACCTTTATCAGCTCATAGGATGGATCAAAATGTGCTAACAGGTGATAATGAAATTGACAACTTTGTGGAATGCAGAAGGCACTCGAAGGGGATTTTCGTTTATTAAAAAAGAAAATGTATTTGATAATCATTAGAGAAACAGATTCTTACACAGTTACTAGTGGATTATCGGATTTATCCTATCTCGATAGTTAAATTATCAATTTTAACTATCTCGATTTGATAAATCCGATAATCCACTGGTTCCAATGTAAGAATCTATATTTATTTCACTACACTCATTTCATACTAACAACCTTTACTTGAAGCAATTTGTTAAATTATTTTCTCTAATTCTGTGGCAATTTAACCCTTTCTGGACCCATTGCATAAAAAATTTTAATCAACATGTGGTTGCTGATTATCTCAGAAGATGATTGGATGAGTTTATGGGTCATAACCTTTTTCAGCACACTGAATGAATCAACATGTTCTAACAGGTGTTAATGAAATTGACCATCTTGTGGAATGTGGAAGGCACTCGAAGGGATTTTCGTTTATCAAAAATGAAAATTTATTTGATTATCATTAGAGAAACAAATTCTTACATAGTTACTCGTGAATTATCAGATTTATCCAATCTCGATAGTTAAATTATCAATTTTAAAGTCTTCGCTAAAATTCGATAATTCAACTATCTCGATTGGATAAATCCAATAATCCACTGGTACAAAAGTAAGAATCTATTTTTACCAGTTGATCAGTTTGTGGGAGAATAATTCAAACTGCAATTTGTGAAACTGTTTGAGCAATTGCCATTGTGATACCCCAAAGCCTACTGAATAAGCACAGTAACAGACTACAGACAATTCTAACATGTACTTATTTTTTATAAGACTATATTTAAAAAGTATCATTTTACAGATTATATTTGAATACAATAGTTAGTTCGTAAAGAATTCATTTATTATAAACTTCGCCTGCAAAGTAAACATGATAAGGACATTTTGATAAACAATCTCCCTTACCTTTCCATTTTCTGCTCATATAAGTGTACATTTTCAGTCTCTGACCAATGAAAAAGATGACAGTAACAATATATATAATTGTTGACGAAACTGCAATGCCTAGATATTTGCAACTTGTACTTACAACATTTTAGGAATTGTTTAATTATGTTTATAATTTTTATTTATGTGAGTACTTTCTCTTTTGATCGCTTTTTGTTTTCTTTTGTAATTCACGAAATGAAAACGTAAAATATCAGTCTCTTAAAAATCAATTAAAAAAACATCTATTTTCGAGAACAGAAGAACTTGTGAATTAAATTTTTGATGACGACTATGGTAAAAATGTAATAAAAAAAGACATGGAACAGTTGAAAACTTTTGAATAACTTTAGACATATCACACAATGGGACTGTAAAGCATTTTAAATATCAGATAGTCTTAAACACATAGCTAACCCATCATACCTGGTGGCTTATTATATGTAGTGACGTCGTAATTGTCCTGGACATCAAATAAATCGAAATCACGATTCGTGCCATGACTGCATTTCCATGTACCAGTTATGTTATTTTGCTCTGTTTTATCGACAGTTAAAGTCGTTATATTGGTGGATAGATCTTGGGTCGTTCTCTGGTTTGTGCACAACCCCTTAAGTTCGGTCCTGACTGGTGCCACACATTTTGCTACCAATTTGTCTGATGGATCGGTTATTTCAACATCAAATTTCAGCTCCGAAACATAACATGACATAACTAACGTGTTGTTAATAAACGTTCCTTTCAGGCACACATGTATCTTGTTAAAGGTAAAACCTATAATGATTGAAACATAATGTTTGTACAGGATTTGCATCAATAAAAATGAGATTTAATAAAGCAGTAGTCGTTCCTTTTAGCAGAGTTCTTAATTTATCTTCCACCTGTCATCTCATGGTGTGCTAAAAAAACGAGGAGATTTTTCAGAAAAACTTCAGAACCACACAGATTTCAATAATTGATACACCAAAGATGATGTTATATCAATGCTGAACTGTTTGATCGATTACGTATTTGTTGAGTTTGGTGGATTACTATTTCAACAGACAGTCGGTTTACCAGCAGGTACTAATTGTGCATCCCTACTTACCGACTTGAGTTTGTTATTTTATTATGTTCATTCAAAAAGAGAAAGAAAAAGCATCTTACAAAGTTCTTGAAATTACTTTCAGAATAATTGATGATGCCATGTCACTTAATTACCCACATTTCAGTAAGTGCTTACATCTCTTTTTCAATTGGAACTTCCGAAACTAGAAGGTCTGCTTCTTAATTTGTTTTTTTTTGTTGGTCGATATTGACACAGATAGACGACTCCGAAGAAGTATATATCTATGTCGCTAGAGAGTTGAGACACAAATACTTGGTATCGGTCAACCAATTTGTGATGGTGACCGTGAGACTTAGGTAGTGTCAATATCAGTCGATTTTCCTTATAACTCGATTTGGATAGTTGTTATGTCAGGAGCATACCCTGGTAATAAAGTCTGTTTAGTATAAATATAAACATGCCTAACGTATGTATTGATAAAGATATATAAGTGCCATACAATGGATCAGAGGGTATATTATTGCTGACAATGGAAAGTTGACATAATTGGAAAGTTGAAACATCCCGTTTGTCGTATATGAAAATGGGAAGTTGACATAATTGGAAAGTTGAAATCATCCCGTTTGTCATATATATAGATGGGAAGTTGACATAATTGAAAAGTTGAAATCATCCCGTTTGTCATATATGTCAACTTTCCATTTTTCAGCATTTTTCAGTATGTGCGATTTGTTTATTCTTTGTGAGATTTGCTATAAACAGAACAATTATCCGAGGAGTAGTTTGATTCGATCATCGCTGGCGTACAAAATTATAAGCCTGGTATTTATAATGAGTTTATTTACAACCACTAGGTCGATGCCCCTGCTAGTGGAGGGTTCCTCCCCGATGGTATCACCAGTCCAGTAGTTAACACTTCTGTGTTATCATTGTTATGGTCATAATCATAGATAAACTGTTAACAAAACATAGAATTGTTCGAAATACTAAGATTTGTCAACCCTAGGAATAGAATACCTTAGCTGTATTTGGCAATAAATTTCGGAATTTTTGGTCCTCTACTACGTACGTTATTTGGCCTTTTAACTTTTTGGAATCGATCATCACTGGTGAGTCTTTTGTAGATGAAACACGCGTCTGGTGTACAAAATTTAAAGTCTGGTATCTTTGATGAATTTATTTAATGCTTGACATTAGGTTTCAAAATTTAAAAAAATCGTTAGCTTTTATCTTGTCACTTGGTACAATTTAGTTGATAGAGCCTTCTATTTATCATTGAAAGTAACGTTGACGTAAATATTGTAAATGTAATTTATCACGTCTTGCATTGGAATTAGAGTTGTCTTCGGTTTGTCATAAAACAAATTTTGTCTATTGAAATGGTTAAACTGAAATACCGTGATTTCCCAGTAAAAATAAAATTCACATGTGAAAATCATCCTGTTATATCACTACTCTGACTTAATACAGCAATATGTGTTGTCAAAACGTTGGCAACGCAGTTGTATGCAAACGAGGTACTTGAAAAAAGTTATAGTTGCATTCTCTACTTTATTTTCATTAAAAGTCAATGTAATAAAAAGAATAACTAATCCAAGAATTGATTTGTACTGACAAGATCTATTACATACATTTCTAAAATTCCCCATTGATAAAATCAAGACATTATTAAGAAAGTACGGATTCCAGATTTCTCGATCTTATTTAAGAAAAGCGCTTCGTTTTTGCATTGAAAAAAAGATTATTGATTAAGGACTTTCAGTTTTGAATTTTCCTTTGATTTCAGTACTTTTGGTATTTTACCTGTTTTTTTTCGGACGCACATATTATCATTTGTTATTTTCGTTTTGTAAATTATGGCTAAATAATGTGTTCCTGTTCCTGTTTATCCATACTTTGAATTTGATTAGGTGATTTAATTACAGTAGGCTCATATTGTTTATAAATTGCAATGTTTTAAAAAATAATATCCAATGTATTTATTTACTTTGTTCATATCACTTTTCTGATTAAATTTAAATTGAATTTAAAGCCAAATAGTACAAAAAAGAGGATACAAAAAAGGACAATGGAATATCGGACGTCCATGAAAAATAGACAACACCATGGTCATTAAACAAATGACCTTTCACAAAATACTACACAGAAACCTACTGATTGAACAACATTATTAACCCGACCAAAAACCAGGAGAAAACTCAGGTATACAAAAAGAGTAAGTAATTCGTTTTCCATTAGTAGCACCCTCATATCAGGTAATATTTTTTTTACATTTGGTGATGTCACAATCAAGGAAACGATCTACGACCACTGGAAAATACCCGTGGGGTCATCCATGACACATATATTTCATATCAGTCATCAAAAGCATAAGCATGTTGGCGTCCAAAAAACATTTGAAATAACTTCAAGAGGGTGTTTTGTTAAATAGGTGCCCTTGTCAGCAGCAACCCTCTGTCAATGACAGCATGATATGAAACTCAAACCCTCGAATATCGTATCAACTTGGAGATGTATAATGAATACTCATGCACTGCTGGAATGGTGCTACACAGAAATTGAAAGATCACAATAGGAAAATTGTTCAGTGGTGACCCTCATTGACATAGCCTATGATTCAGTCTAGATATGAAGCAGACGTAAATGTATCTGTGGTATCAATTTTTAAAAGTTAAATCAATAGGAAAGGTTTTATCACCAAGCATTGAATCATTGACTGATTCAGTGACAGGACATTATCTATATAGCTGAACGAAAAGATGAAGGAATATGAAATCTTCTGTTCATTCATGATGACAAACTGTATGATGTGTACCTGAGATAAAATGTCAACACGGAGATGAGAATATAAAAATGAATAGATGTAGTATGATAGCCAATGAAAAAATTATCCACCAATGTTAAAATGAAGTGGAAGTGGTAGTATTTTGCCATAGGGAAGCAAGCTGTCATTTAGAAACACGCCCAGGTAACAAATGTAGTAGTTTGTTTAGTTCACACATTGTTGTCAATATAATGGAATTGTATGCGACTGTCGTACAATTTAATGGTTTAGCTAGCTATATAACCAAGATTAATCTACCATTTTTTACCAAGTCAGGAATATTACAGCTGTTTTCCATTCGTGGATGTGTTTGAGCTTTTGATTTTGCCATTTGATAAGGGACTTTCCGTTTCGAATTTTCTTTTGAGTATTTTTGTTATTTTACTTTTTGCCAATGAAAAATCTAGCATTTGTTATGGTAGATTTGGGTTTCTTTGTCTGAGCATCCCTTCTGGGCATGTTTCAAAACATTCTTTTTGGATTTAAAACAGAAACATGTAAAACTTGAAATCTAAGGATTAAACTATCAAAAAATAAAGTGTCTTTAAGTGTATTTAAAAATAAGAAAAAAATACTTTTAAAATCAAAGGAAGATAATTACATTAGATTTGATAGGACATTTGTATTTTGTATTTTTCAAGAATATAAAGCCCGTGACCCACTAATTTTATTTGATGTTTCGGAAGTATTTATGAAAAGCAATTATTTGATTGAATTCTATCGTTTAATGTTTCCTCAATAAAGATAAATTAAGATACCCCTATATAATTACCCACATAAAATAACTATAATTTCTTTAATTTCAATGTATTTTAACGAAAAAACAAGGTACGTGACCGCCTGTCTTTATTTGAAAATTGAAAGTACATTGACCTAGAAGTCTTTTACAAACGTTCAAGAAAAACCTATAATAAAACATTTAGATACCCCAGTTACCTTAATGGCAGTTTCAGAGATATTTTTGTCGAATGCTTTTACACAAAGTATGATTAGTCTGCTCTTAAATCGAGATATTTGTATTTACTTTGTCATTATAGATTGATTATCCCCTTCGTGCAAATGTTCTAATATGTTTGGAAATGAAAACGTGGTATAGTTACATAGAGTGCTATATCAAATAATATAATAATGATGAAAAGTGTCAAATATAAAAAAAAAAGAATTCTAATATAAAATAGAGTCAAATGTGTTCTGAATTATATTTAAGAAGTAAAATAACAAAAATACCGAACTCCTAGGAAAATCCATAACGGAAAGTCCGTAATCAAATGGCAAAATCAAAACCTCAAACACATCAAACGAATGGATAACATAAATGATTGAAAATTCGAATGCGAAAATGTATATAAATGATTTGAATGTGGTTTAACACCATTAGTAATGTGAATATAAAGTATATACATATTTCTAGCCTCAAAAGCCATTCAATCTGTTAACCCCGCCTAAGTCAGAAGCCTGTAATTCAACGGTTGACATATGTTGCTGTATATCATATTGTATTTTTTTTGTTTATTTTATTGAAAATAAATCAGGCCGTTAGTTTTTCCCGTTTGAATTGTTTTACACCTGTCATTTCGGGAACTTTTATAGCTTACTATGAGGTATGGGTTTCGCCGTACGGTTATCTATAGTTGCTAATTTCATCGTCATTTGGTCTCCGGTGGGGTGTTGTCTCAATGGCAATCATACCACATCTTCCTATTTTTATATCAAACGCAGTTTTCTTTATGCTATGCAGGTTTTGTCACCATTGATTCTTAATTCGAATAAGTTACAATTTATATGTTGGATGACGAAGACCCACTTAGGCTTCGGGTAAAATATTCTAGCAAGATAAATATACTTCTAACACTGTTGGTTAAATCAGTGCCATATAGGATAGAGATCAATTTGTGATTTTTTACTCCGGAATTTTCCATGTTAGATCTGCAGAGTTTGTCATTCTCTAAGCGGAATTTAATCCCATGCTTATATGACGGTGTGGCTACTTCGCCTGCACTGCGTCAAAGTCCCTAAACCACATGATTGACTAGCTTATATAAAATATAGCTTTCTTTAGTGCACTGATGTGTTTCCTCGTTGGTTTCATCAAGGATTGTTTATATGCAGTACATGATGCAGTGCATAGTGGCATACAGATGGAATATATCTTGCAGATATATCTTATATATATTTGGTGGTTGATATATTTTTTTTGGAATTCAGTACTATGTTTTATGTAACCTAAACTGACAATCAAAAACAGCATAAGTTATATATAAGATGGATTTAAACAATAAAGAATTAATTTATATCGACCCTCAAATAATTGATTTTCAACTAGATGTTAAATGAAAATCACAGAAGCGTGATGTAAACAAATTCATCAGTGTCATATCATGTGTTTGCAGTAGTCTAACAACAAGTCATGGTATAGCTTTAGACATGTTGAAAACGACAAGTTTTTAATTTTAATAAATCTTACCTAGAATTATTGGCATAAGAAAGAATAAGAATTCTGATTTTAACTCCATTTTCATATATGTTATACGACCTTGGCCGACAATCATAAGACGTAATTTAAAATTGTAAACATACCCGATCACCTCACTATTGATTTTATAATACACTTGACATAACGCACATTTAAAATAGATACGTAATTATATGCAGATGTAAAGTCAATTCTTTTTACACGAAACTATTGCAATATAATGACAATCAAAACCAAAAACTTTTAAAGCCAATGACAAATACATTGAAGTAATAGCACTTATACATATATATAAATATATAATAAAATAAAGACTTAAACAGAACAGCCCAAAATCGTACTTTTCCTAAAAGAATTCCCAACTTAGTTTTAGTTTGACAATTAAATTGAGTTTGACACTCACTAGCAGCGGCATTGACCGGATGGTATTAATTTAATATACAAATGCAGTAGCAATTAGAAAATTCAGTTTTTTATATACTTTACGTCGCCTCAGTATGTCGTAATATCTTTCTAGAAATAAACAATGATTTCATGGTCTTATTTCTATCACTGATTTCCACTATTATCTGTTCAGTAGCACTGGTTAGAAAGAAAGAAAAGAAGTAAGCAGTATCATTTAAATTCACTTTCCGCTATACAGATGATGTTCTTTCACTAAATATTCAAAATATTGTGACTATGTTGAAAGCATCTATTCCATCGAACTTGAGATAAAGGATACAACAGATACAGTTAAGTTTTGCCTCATATCTTGACTTACATCTAGAAATTGACAATGAGGGTCGGTTGAAAACAAAACTTTACGACAAAAGAGATGATTTCAGCTTTCCAATTGTGAACTTTCAATTTCTATGTAGCAACATTCCAGCAACGCCTGCATACGGAGTATATATCTCCTAGTTTTATACAATACTCCAGGGCTTGTATTTCCTATCATGATTTCCTTGATAGAGGGTTGCTGATAACAAGAAAGCTATTAAACCAAGAGTTCCAAGTGGTGAAGTTGAAATCATCTCTTCGTAAATTTAACGGACGCCATCACGAGTTGGTCGACCGTTATGGAATATCTGTTTCATAGATTAGGATGGATGTGTTCCAATTGTCGTTACCACAATCCTGTCTTCTTTTCCCCGAATGCGACATACCGAAAAGACTTATAACTGGGTTTGTACTTATACGAGTAACACGACAGGTGTCACATGTGGAGCAGGATCGACTTACCCTTCCGCAGCACCCGAGATAACCGCCTGGGATTCGTGTTGCTTAGTCTTTAGTTTTCTATGTTGTGTTTTATGTACTGTTGTTTGTCTTTTGATCTTTTTCTTTTTTAGCCATGACGTTGTCAGTTTATTTTCGACTTATGAGTTTGAATGTCCCTTTGGTAACTGTAGCATCTATTTTATTGTCCTTGCGTCCTCAGATTCAGGAAAGTAACTTAATTTTGTATAGAATCATTCATTGTTGTACATAGATGAAATGTCTTTAAGCTTATTACAATTTCTGGCCTGAAATGTCACAGCGTTCACTCCCAGTTTTTTATGTGGTTTATGTTACTCTGTTTTCTGTATTGTGTTGTTTGTCTTTGTCCGTTGTTTTTGATCTCATGTGCTCCGAAAGGCAACAGTTCCTGCTCAATTTCTGACACCCACCCTGTTACACCTTGTCCAAAACACATACTACTCTAATGTTTAATGATTGTTGAATACAATTGATATGCTTTTAAATTGTGCTTGTTTTGCTTTTTGTTGGCGTATTTGTCAAATGTACTATCAACTACAACCGCCTTTTTGTTTTCGTTATTGTTAGATTTATTTGTATGTTTGTTTGAATTTTTTAGACAGTTGTGATGTATCTTTACACAATTTTGGCGGCTTGTCATTATTTCTGTTTGGGTTGCTTACCCAATTTTGTCAATATAACGGAACTATGAACAACTGTCATACAAGTGGGAGGTTTAGCTAGCTATAAAACTAGGATCAACCCACAATTTTCTTCGGAAAATGCCTGTACCAAGTCAGAAATATGACAGTTGTTTTTCACTTGTGTCGTTGATTGATATCGTTTGATTTTGTCAGTTTTTATGGACTTCTCCTTTTTTGATTTACGTTGGAGTTCGGTATTTTATTTTTGTTATACTTTTTTGCAATTTCTTTTTTTTTTTTTTTTTTTTTTAAATTAATCAATTTTATTGCACCTTTGCTGTTAACAATTTACTCAATCTACAGCTTCAATTAAGTATCCCTTTAAATTAGTTATTGAATATCTAGGGAAAGATATTCAATTAAGTATATATCTATAAAGTTAGTTATATTAATACATAAGAACAGTTCTACATAATAAATTTTTTATTTACCGGAATACGGTACGTTTCTTAACCTATACTGTATATGGTTTTTTTTATTAAAGCTTCACTGAACCGCGAAATTGATGATGATCTGTGATACTGATAGCATGACTCTTCAGCCGACAATAGCATTTTGAACTTAAAATTTGTTTGTTTTGTTTACACCACTGAATTATATAAGAAGTCTTGGATGATGTTATGTGTACAGCTTCATTTTTTAACAGTAAATGTTAATTTCTATGATAAAGCCAAAGATCGAAAGTACACGTGGTCTTCTTCAAATTATACATGTATGCAGTAACGTTGCACTGTGTTATTTATTCTGCTCGCTCTCCTGCTCATTATAATTTTGCATTGTGAACAGGAATAAACATATTTAATAACAATACTAATTCAGTGTAGCTGTAATAAATTATAAAAGAGTAAAATTGCGAATTTCAGTTAATGCACATCAACTAACTGGACACACACATGTGTAGTAATGTATTAACGAGGTCACATCTAGAACATGTATCTAATAATTATCATTTCATTTAAAGGAATTCGAAATATTCCCATGTTTTAATTATTATTTTCTTGGTTTTTTTTGCTTCTGATTTTGTTTATGTTTATAATGTCCGAGATTTCATTTTTGAAGATTTTAAAGATATCAATGACCTTATCTTTCGTGTCAGACATATAATATGCTTTATAGATGGAAAAGAAAATTATAGTTAATAGATAGTTCATATCAAAATAAGCTTCATCTTCAATTTTATAGCCGGTTACTAAACTTTCAAGACTAAGTATATGCTTATCAATTCTTAAAAATGCTAATAGCTGGTCAACTTTATGCCAATAATAAACATTATATAAACAGGTAAAAAAGAAGTGTTTATAATCATCATGTTGCTTACAATGGAAGCACAAACTGCTTGGTTCTATTTTCCATTTATAAAGTAATTTATTACAGGCTAATATATAATGTATTATTTTCCATTTAAACATTTTAAATTTGTTGTTTTCAAGGTAGTTAAAGATAAAGTTAAATGTGGACTTCAATTTTGTAGTCATTTTTTTATGAAGAATTCTTTCCCACATTAAAACTTCTGTCGGTTTATCATGTGTAAATTGACTTTGCAAGAAAGTATATACTTCTTTGTTACTCATATCTGGTGAAATTTCATGTTTTAGTAGTATATTTAACTTCACCGATTTTTTTATATTGACAACAGTTTTGTAAGAGCTTTCTTGTTTTAAAATATTTTGCCAGTGCTTTCCCCATATAAGTTGTTTTCTAACTTCAAGAAAGTTTCTTGGTATGATTGTTTGACCTCCTTTTATTTCTACCCATGTTTTAATTAATTGTTTATAGAATTCAGGTAAAGATTTATAATTTATTTTATTAAGCAAATTAACATTTGTTAAATTCATTCTGAATAAAAGAAAATCTTTCCCAAATTTATCAAGGTAAAATCTTGGAATAATTTTCCAGTTCTCATTTTCCTTTTTTAATAATTTTAAAACCCATCTCATTTGTAATGACTTTAGATAGCAATCTAAATCAATCAATTGTAATCCTCCATCAAGATATGGTTTACATAATATAGTACGTTTAACTTTATCTTTTTTCCACTCCATATAAAATTATATATTAAATTTTTGAACTTTTGTTTTATTTCATGTGTTATTATCATACTTGATGCAATGTATGTCAGGTTTGGTAAAATTAAAGACTTAACTACAGTAATCTTTCCTATTAATGTTAAGTTTCGTTTGTTCCATCCTTGAATTAATTTTTCACATTTATCTATTTGCTTTTCTGTGTTTAATTTATGACATTCTTGATAATTGTATCCAAAATATATTCCTAGACTTTTAATGTGGTCTCGTTTCCAGTTTGTATTTTCCAATTTATCTTTTGAATGTTTAAGTTTCCCAAGCCACAAACCTTCTGTTTTATTTCTATTCAATTTAAGTCCAGAAAGGCTTCCAAAAGTTTCAATAATATTAAGGGCTATACTTATATCTTTGATTGTTTTTAAAAACAATTGAGTATCATCTGCTAAATGACATATTTTTAGCGAGCAAGATTTTCCATCTAATTTGATTTCAAATCCTTTTAGTTCATTATTTTCCCTTAATTTAATTGCCATTATTTCAACAGATAAAACGAAAATTAACAAGGATAACGGACACCCTTGTCTAATCCCACGAAATGTGTTGTTGGGGGCAGACACCCATCCATTGTTTAAAATACACCCTTTTATATCTGTATACATAGTTTCAACCCATTTTATGAATTCCTTTTTAAAACCGATTTTTTTTTAAAGATTCAAACTTGAAACACCACTCCAGTGAGTCTAAAGCTTTAGTAAAGTCTAAAAATAAAATTGCACCATCTACTTTAAATTTTTCAGAAAAATCAATAATGTCTTGGATTTGTCTAATATTAAATCCTATGTATCTGTTTTTTATGTAACCTTTTTGATCAGAGTGAATGATTTTTGGAAGAACTGATTTTAATCTTTGCGCTAAGGCATAGGCTAATAATTTAACATCATAATTTAATAATGTGATAGGTCTATAGTTATCAAGGGAGAGGGGATCATTTTTTTTTATACAAAAGAGATATAGCTCCTAAATTTGGGAGTTGGTTAATTCACCTTTTTTAAAGCAATAATTGAAAACGGGTACTATCAAATCTTTTAATTTGTTCCCAGAATTTTCTATAAAACTCAACATTTAGTCCGTCCAAACCTGGGGCCTTGTTCAGTTTCATTTTAAATATAGCCTCTGTGCATTCACTTATAGTAATTTTTCCTTCACAAGTATTGCTTTCATTTTCATAAATTTTTTTACATTCTTTGATAGTTTCAAAGTATTTTTTTAGCTCTTCTGTGCCAGGTGTTGTTGAAGTATATAATTTAGTATGATAATTAACTTCTAGATTTATTATTTTGATTTGGTCATATGTTACTTGTTCATTTTTATCATACAGTTGAGTTATAGTTTTTTACTTTGCCTTGTTTTTTCTAAGCCAAGAAAAAAAGATGTGTCTTTCTCCCCTTCTTCTAGCCATTTCACACGTGATCTAATTTGATTTCCTTGAATTTTTTTATTATATAAGCTTGCTAATTGTTTTTCTATGTTTTCTTTTAGGTTAATTTTCCTGTCATGTGTATTGCTGTCACAATCAATTTCAGCAGATAATGTTTTTAATGTGTTTTCTAAAATTTCAATATTATTAATTTTTTAATATTTGCTTTTAATTTACAGTATTGAATAGTATAATCCCTTACCTCAACTTTAAAATTATCCCATAAAATATCTAAGTTTAGAGATGTTTCTGCTTTTGTTTTATATGTATTAATCAACTTTGAAATAATTTTTAAATACTGGTTATCATCTAGGATGCTACTGTTTAATTTCCAGTAACCTCGCCCTTTTGAGTTTCTATTTATGTTGATTTTTAATGAAACAGCGTAAGGATCAGTGTGTTGTAAAACTATTGGTCTTATATCGCATGAAATGCAATTTTTATTAACTTTATCGCTTACTAAAAAATAATCAATTCGTGTAGATTCTGATAAGTTTTTTCTTCTCCAGGTAAATTGGGTTTATTTATGTTTTTGCCTCTCCAGACATCAGTTAGTTTAAGATTCTTAATCAATGTCTTAAGTTTATGAACTGGTTTATAAAATTTTTTATTTCCTAATTTTTTCTTTGTATCTTTTATAGATAATATGTCGTTGAAGTCACCCCCAATTATTAACTGGCCAATACTATGATTTTCAATTAATTGTTTTACTGATTGAAAAAAAAAAGTATTCCTTGTTTTACAATTATTAGGTGCATATAGGTTCACTAAGGTGTATATATTGTCATCTATTTCTATATTAACTAGTATAAATCTACCTTCTGAGTCTTTATATTGGTCAATAATCTTGTAGTTTAATCTGCTTTTTATTTTTCCATTTAGCTACCCCTCTTGCATAACTTAACCCATTACTTAAAATTAATTCACCTTTGAATTCTTGTTTTAGCTTTGATTCTAAGGTATAAGTAAAATGACTTGTAGGAATACTATATTACATTTTTGTTGATTAGCCCATTCAATAATTCAGTTTTTTTTCCAGATTTTTGTAACCCGTTGGTATTTACAGTGCAGACATGGATACAGTTTTTATGTATCATATTGTATTAATATTAAGAAGGTGAGCTAGTATAATTAAGGAGTTCTGTTCAGTTTGAAATCAAGTTGAACCTGTAAATCAACATGAATTTAAATTGAAGATTTTATCTTTATCCTTGCTTTGTTGGGTTTTTTTATATGACATTTTTATCAGTATTAAATTCTTTATATATGTACATTTATATACAACCATAATTATCATGATTATTAATGTGCAAACATTACACAACATATCAATTATTGACCTCACTATATAGGTCGTGATTTGGGTCAACAATGTGACTTGAAATACAGACCCCTCTGTGTCCAAAAAAAAATATTTTGGACTCATTAAATTTGTATACATACATGCAAATACAATCAATAGAAAAATATGTACAAAGACGATTAATAGAAAAAAACATGACTTTAAACTCAACACTATATAAACAAAATTTTTAAATGTTTTTACATGTACTATAAAAATACATACTGGACTACTATTTACATGATATTTACATAGCCAATGTTGTATAGTATTGCTAGCTACTTGATAAGCTAAGTGAAATACTAGTATGTTTATGATCAATATTTGTATTGTATGACTTGTGAATGTTTTTGTGTCAATTATAATAATCGATCTTTGTTTTGATTTTTGTAGGTGTGCTTTATCCTTTTGAGGTTTGGTTTATGGATTCACAGATGATAATCCCATATCCGCTTTAGCCAAAACTATTGAAGGAATTATTACAATTATATATGAAAGAGTTGGTTACCGACAAGCTTTTTGAAAACATAAATGTGAAGTGAATGTACATGTGCAGCTATGCAACAAGTGACAAAAAAAGACACAAAGAATTTTAAAAATAAAAAAAAGATCTAAAGATGTTGATATTAGGCACACGCTGCTTACCACTGGACATGAGAATTTTTTCATAGTTTCAAAAGGATTGTTAATTTCTTTTAAGAGAGGATATATGTAGCTGTTGTTATGTAGACTGATAATTAAGTGATATAAAATTAGATGATGACTTATAGTTTTATGGTCAACTAATTTTTGAATTGTGGATAAATGGTACATGTAATGATAATAAAATATTAATTTATACATCATTATATTCATATTGTTGTGTTTTTGATTCTTATACAAACACAGGTAAATTAACTACATGTATGTATATAATTAGGTATCAGTTGTTTTGGACCTCTTGGCAGTAGAATCACTCTCTTTGTCGTGAAGCTTCTCAGTTGGTGTTACTGGGGACTTCAGAAAGGTAATACTAACTGGTTGTTTTGATGGAGTTTGAGATTTTTTGATTGATTCTTGTGTGCTCTGATTACCGGACATGAATGGGATTATTTGAGCTTGACTGGGATCATCTTTTTTATTACTGTTCTTTTTTTTAATTTTCTTTCGTTTTTGTGGATCAGCTACAGGATTGATAATAGATTGAGACTGTCCATTGTCATCTTCACATCCAGTAGTTGATGCACCTTCACATCCAGTAGCTGATGCGCCTTCACATCCGGTAGCTGATGCACTTTCACATGTTACAGCATTGTTGGTTTGGACGGATATTTGTGTTCCATCAGTGCCAGTTTCAGATTCGGAAATTTCATCATCCGCATCACTTGTTTCATTGTTTTCTTTTTTGTTTTTTTATCTGATTGTTCAGGTACGTCTGAGAAAGTATCTTTGGTATAGGCATTTTGTTTGTGTCCTTCTTGTTCACATGATCTACATACCCAATCATTGGTACAATCATTTTTTTTGTGACCTTCTTGCAGACATTTCGAACATTTCTTATTTTGAAAGTTGTTTGTAGGCTGATCACGATAGAGGATGGTGGCTCTATATTTGCCAATGAGAATGGATCTTGGGATGTGCTCTGTTAGCGGTCCATCACAAATGATGATCCTGTCTCCGGTTAGGCAGTTGGTCAGTTTGTTGTTGTATCTTAATCGTTCTCGAAAGTTGCTCAAAATTGCGCAACCGTATTTTTCCATCTCCCTAATAAATTGTCCGTCGTCTGCGTAAAGAGGTACGTCTTTTACTCTTATTCGTACATTGTTAATGTTTTCATGTGCAGTCACACGTGGACTTCTTGAGTAAGTCCAGACTGATTTACCACGAACTGTGATGGATTTGGATATAAGGATACCTCTTTCAGATTCGTCATCAATGTAGATTCTCCATAAGCCTCGGATTCTTTGAAGACCAATAATTGTTCTATCAGGTACAACTTCGCTGACAGCTTTGTACATTTCAGTGTGTGTCAGGTATAATCTGATTCCAATGTAAATACAGGTTTAACACTAACCATGTCTGAGGGTTCAATTGTTTTAGGGTCTGTTTTAATTTTTTCTGCATAGGACGCCATTTTGGGTTCACTTTCTTCATTAGATTTTGCCATAACTTGCCTGAATTCAGCTATTCTAAAGCTGTTTTTTCTACAATTAGTCACTTAAAGACTAGAACTACATACAAGCAAGCAGCTATATACTATGAAGTGATTGTCGATGAGAAAACAAAGTTTATTACGTTTTTTGTCTTTAAGTAGTTACACATCCGTTACCTTAGTCAAGGGCCGTAACCCATACCTTTTTTGCATTTTTGCAATTTCTTTAAGTATCTTTAGGTATCTCTTTCAACTGTTACGCTTCATATACATCCTTGGTTTTCAAAATATTCAGCCTTAAGCGTTTCTGATGAAGGTTAATCCAGAAAAGCGCTTCGAGCACATGCAGTTTATATAGAGTTAGTTTAATTTTTTTTCTGAAAAAAGAAGCATTCAATGACTTCAACTTAGAATGAGATATTGATTAAAAAATTCTCCCAAGTGATTCTATTAGTTTTATAGTACAAAGTGACATTTTGCTTGCAATATTATTTTACACATCAATAATCTCAGTGCACAATATAAATCTCAACATTTCAACTTGTTTGCATTAACTTTTGTACATAAGTTTTTCATTAAAATGTAATCCCCAAGTACGCCTGTTATTCTTATGTTACAAGTATAACAGAATTTTACAACAAAGTCGCGACCAACAACGACCATCAACATAAAACGACATTTATTCCACTTTTTCATAATTATCACTACTACGTCTTGAAGTATCCATATCCATACCAGCCTGTATTTCCAGGTACCCGTGAGATGTCTCATACACTCTGGTCGTTTGGTAAGGTACAAGCTCACTGTATGGTCGGCTACGAGCTTCATAGAGATGGACATCATGTTGGGCATTTGGTTCAATGTACCTAAAACAATAAACAAGTCACGTAAGCTATACATTTTTTCCTCAACATTTCAGGGCTTGGAAAGAAAATAAATACATTGAAGTTAAAGCTGATACAGGGTTAAAACAGAGAAGTTAAAATCAGGTAAATTTTGACATAAGGGACTTGGACGTAAATCGATATAAGATTAAATAATGTATAAATTTTGATTTTCTGTTAATTGTATCTAATAAATCGTACCAGAACGAAATTGACAAAGTTAAATGAGAAACGGCGAATCGTAAACAGGTCTTGTTGTATGAATTTTGAATAGGGAACCAAAATATTCAAACTGACAATACAATTTCCGTTTTTAAAAGATTTAAACCATACTGAGTAAACAAAATTTGACGGACAATGAAAAACAAAAAAATATAAAATACTGAACTAACTTGAAGAAGATTTAATATTGTTATTAGTTCTTATAACTTTGACTCTGTTTGAAATTTGAAATAAGTATTTTCGTATTTATGGTGTATTAGTCCTTATTTTGTTGCAATCAATGCAGTTTTTGTCTTTTGCTTACCATGGGTATGTTTGCAACTATTACCACTAAACAAACACCAAGTTAACATTTTCACGTTGCTTATCTTTAAACAAAATTTTACGAATAATTTCATAAATAAATATGTTAAAATATATTTCCTTTTCTCACTTACTGATTCTCATTTTCTGATAAAACAGCGTTTCCATTAGAACTTTCTATTCTATAAATTACTACAAATAGATAAAAAAAAACATTTATCACAATACATGTTTGTACCTTGACTGATTTCAAGTTCTAAAACAAGTACAAGTAAATGTGACATGCACCAAATCTTTTTGTCAATGTCATAATCCTAATATTTTCACTAATTCAATAATACTTCTGTAATTTACAAAACAAATGTATAAGCAAAATTTTATATACAATCATTCCGTTTTGTACATGTTTTATGATATGAAAAATCAGAAACATTATACTAATTGCAAAACGACTCCTACATCTTTCAGTCTGTTTCTTCCTTTTCATAGATAGAGAAGCCGTCACTGTTATCAGTCCCGATACAAGTACAACTATGACAACTCCTAACATTATCCAGAAAACATTCAAGCTACTTTCCTCTTCTGTAAGAAAAAAGCATTATCACACTAAATAAGTTCAAGTAAGATGTTTTTTGTTGATGACTGCGTTACGTGCAGTGGCGCATATGCATATTCAGGGCGATATCATTTTGATGTGATACGAAAATACATTGTTTTGCACTATTAACTATTAGCTTTGATTATTTTATTGCAATAAAAACAATCTTTAAGACTTAATCCTTTTTGAACGAATGTTAGAACTTTTCAATTACATTTGTACTTTAAACTATACATGTACATGTATTATCAGTTGCCATATAAATTGTTAAAAAACACAGAAAACAGAAAAACCCATTTAACAATTGTTTTTACTATTTGGTAATAGATTTTGTTTGTTCATCTAAACACCTTTCAATTCAATCATATAACGCTCATAACACAATTTATTTTTTTAGCACATTTCACTGGTATCGTTCCTGCAACTCCCTTACTTTTTGTTAATTATCTTGATTTGTTTTCTTAATCGATTTATTAATTTGGACATCGGTAAAATACTAATTCCTTAATCTTTAAAGCAATGTAAAACTTCAAGATACCCTTTGTTGTAACCGTTTAACTATCGAGTTACTAGTAACATTGCTTATATTTTTTCCTTCGGTGAATTTATTGAAACAACTAATTTGAGCAATCAATCTGTCCTGGTTTTGAAATTTCAGTTCTTCATAGACACTCTTCAAAACATTACCTGATACTAAATACCAGTAAAGGTAACACATTACGTCCAAGTGACTTAAGAACAATTATTTAAAATCATGGTCCGCTAATGGTTTAAAATTAATGATCGTTTAGGAACTCCCGAACTTGGTTTAACCTGGAGAAGATGTTTTACCAACAAAAGTTATAACAAACTTCAACGTACTTTCATTGTACAGTATTTCTTCGCACGTTTTTCCATATATGTTCGTTATGCAAATAGCTTTTTTTGGGGGGAAGTTGTTCACATTTTTAGTCAACATCTCACTTTTCAACCCATTCACTTCAACTGTTTTTCCATGCATGTTTATGTAAACAGACATCTGCATTATAATGAATTCGTTTGATGGGTACGGGAATGTGTTGTTTTCCTGAAACCACTCCACGGACTGAATTGGTGACGATGAATAGAACAGCACTGAATACATAACATTAACAAGATTTGACCCTTGACGACGTGCAGATTTTTCTGTTATAACTGCTTTATCTGAAAAATATTGATTCTACAATAATGTAGGAATTAGTGAAAACTTGTACGATACGAAAATCATGACATGGTTTATTCGGGTTTTTAATAATAAAATAAAATAACAAGGAATAGAACATTTTGCATGGGTAAGTCATCCTCTTTATATTGTGTTGATGTTATACAATTGTCTTTTATAATGGTATCATATTTTATTTTTGTATTGAAAACATTCGTTTATATATCGTTTATAATTTTCTTAAACATTTGTTGCAGTGGCCTTCTGAATCTTTCCCTGTTATCCACATCAACAGTGTCTGTCTGTTTTATACTTTTAAATCTGACTTAACAGCTATACTTATAATAGAAAACTTGATAATTTTGATAGATCAAAACACAAAATATGAGTCTTCATCTAGGATAACAATGCAATTATTCACTAGTTTCAAAAGTCTGTTTCTTGGAATGAAATGTCTTTCAATTTTAGATATAACGACACCAATGTTAAGTTTATCCTACAATACCATCTTGTACTGTTTGAAGTATTGACATAGTAGCATAGTTTTATCATCTTATGCATATACATTTAATACTAGATTGATGATATTTGATGTAAAGATATTCAGACCAGTATAAACACAGTTAACATTATTACATAAATTGATAATAAGACGCTAATTAGTCAAATGAAATTGAACAAGCTAAAGCTATATTACCTAAAATCGATAATGTTGTACTTTTATGTACCGTTACGGTTTCTTTTTGTACTTTATACCATACAGAACAAACATATTCACCAGCATCTTGGTAACTGCACTGATTCAACAAAAGAAAAAAGAATCTTCCCTCGTTGATTCCTTTCAAATAACGGACGAAAGTACCATTAAAAGAGTGTTTCCAATCTATAAATTCAAATTCTGCAGGTGTTCCTTCAAGAGAGCATACTAATGTAACACTTCCTGGTCCTTTACAAAGGAAACTGCTGTTCATAATCAACGTTGGAAAATCTGCAAAAGATCAAAGGTCAAGTTATTGAATAAACAGTTAATATTTACTCATTGTATATTAAAGAAATGACACTATGCAAAGTATAACTTCGTATTTTGTTTTGCCTTTTTGTTTGTTTTATTCGAGCGTCAATGGTCAGTCGTTTGAAGACGAAACGCGGGTATGACGTACAAAATTATTAGCCTGGAATCTTTGATGAGTTTTTTTTTTTTTAAAACTTAAACATATCCTTTATTTCAGTTTGTTTTAAAATATATGTTATACTTTAAAGGATCATTTCTGATACACATTGTATATAAAGATATTAGCGACGATATCGAAGAGGACACACAATTTCTCTGTCAGAAACATGATACGTGACAAATTAAACAATCTCTTTGAACTTCAATTTCGTCGCCATGAAAGCTTTATGACGGAAGCTTTTTTTTAAATATTTCCTATTAAAATTATTATTACCTACCTATTATTGAAACACTGACAGCGTTAGAAACAATTACCATCTCATTTGGGAAAGTCATTTTGCATGTAAAGCTTTCGTTAGCAGTTTTGACATTACTGAGTTTGTGATATATAGCGTACGATCGACCATCTAAGGAACACCGACACATCCCGGTTCGACATTCGGTTCCTAAAGCAGTGTTAAAACACATAGTTCTGTGACGTCTGATATAAGTTAGTGTTTCACCATTTACCAAAAATTCAGCAGACTGTCCAACAGGGGCAATGTTTGAAGAACAATTCAGCTGAAATGGTTGACCTTCCGGTGTATGTTGTGGTGCAGACAATATTACGGACACTGGCGAACCTATAAACAGAAGAAATGTGAAATATCATCTTGTAAACAATAAATCATAATTATTTGATTTGAAAGAAAGCACAAATATACATACTTTAACTTTAAAAAAAAAAAATAATATAAAAAAAATTAATAAATATTTAATGCATATTGCATCTTTTATTATTATATACAAGATAAATAGTGATTACCATCAATGCAACGAAAAATGGACAGGTACATTAGGATACAATTGATTTCCATGAACACCATAATGATACTGTTGGTATTTTATGTTTACAAATGATGATGAAAAACTGTATTTACCAATTTATAATACTTAAATTATATATAAACATGGGTCAAGTAGTTTCTTCCTGGCAACGTTTGAGTCCATTGTTTTGATTTGATTTTTGATTTTTTACGATTATTTTTATATAAAAAGAGAAAACACATAAACAAATAACATTGCGAAAATAGTTAAACAGGAAGAGGTTTGTCATTACTGCGTTGTCAATTTAGGTACCGAGCAACAACATATATTTTCAGAAAGTTGTAATTTCATATCCACTTTTAAATTAATAAACAACAACGAATCATACATACTAGTAGTTTATCTATTACCCTCATGGTTATTTCATCGGCGCTTTATTTTGTTTTTAAAAAGAAAGTTAAATTAAAAAAAATTGACAGGCGCAAACATGACTTTGTATGAAATTGGTTTACTCCTGGTTATCCGACTTTTAACTACACCAATTATCACTTAGTTAGATAAAAAAAGGTTTAATGAGCACACAATTGTATAGTATATTCCAATTTAAAAGGTGAATTGCAAAAAAAAATAAATAAAAATAAGACAAAAAAAAAAACAACAAAAAAAAGAAAGCAAGGTGTAAACCTGCTTCAAAAGCATAGGTGATTTTAGATGAAACATAAACATGCTAGCTTGGATGTAGAATACTGCTCAAATTATGTCAATTATTAAACTTGGTTACTGAACAGTTGTATGCAAGTTACATTTAGACGAACCTTCATGACATTTTTATTTGAAACTTGGATAAAAGCTTTTTTTCATCATTAAAGACAGTATCCAGAGCAAACTTATATGTACAAGTATAAAAAAAACATAAATTATCAATAAAATAGACTTATTAATAATTTAGTTTTGCAGTTATCATTTAGTTACAGTCTTGGATTAAACTTTTTAAAATTCTTGATACATTTGTTATTCCTCAGTTGAATTTTATGAAACTTTGACAGATTAAAAGATTGATAAATTGATTGATTGGTGTTTAACACCACTTTCAGCACTACCAGATTAAAGATAAAATATGCCAAAAGCATTATCTAATAAAACTATGTTTATTTTTTTTTCAGTATTTTACAAAAAGATGGAGGTTTTTGCAGGTCAATAATTACAAACAGTCTGTTCTTTTAATTATTAAAACTTAATCCGTCATAAAATGTAAGGATTGTGCAAAGTTTCTTCATAATTAAGAAATAGCATTGAAAAAATTGTTTCCATATATTTTTGATAAATGGTTTCTTAGATGAGTTTTTACACTGACAGGAGCACTCGTAAGAAAAGAAAATGTGTAAAACAAGGTAATTTTCATTGTGATCAGAAACTGAATATTCAGACCCAGAGTTTCAGAATTATTGTGAAACTGCCTGGTCCAGGGGCTCTGTAAATCGGGTGTGGATTATACAAAATGTCAAAGATACGTTAGAGAGAGACAAAATATACCAAAGGGATAAGCAAACTCAAAAGTGGGAACGAACTGACAATGCCATGACGAAAAACACCTGTATACAAAACACAACAAACAAAAACATAGCAATACAAACCTCGCCAAAAACGGATTGGTACAATGTTCCTCCTGCATCGATTGGATTGATTGAGATGTCTAGCAGTTGATGTTCAATCGTGATCAATCGAATCTATTGTTACGATCCAGGCTTTGCAATTTTTTATTGAGTTGATTGCAACTGAATAAGCAGTTTTTGTTTAGACGTAATCAACCGAATCTATCGTAACCATCGAAGCTTTGCAATTTCATCGATTTGATTGAGTTGACAGATGTTTGAAAAAAAACTGTTGTTGTATCAATCTATTGTCGAATACTGTACCTTATGGTTCATGATTTCAAAGATACAAACATAAGGTTTGGAAGTTTGGCTGTACCTGTAAAAAACTTGTTACAAACGGGATACCACATCCTATTTTTTTACAGTGATGTTGTTTACCGAGCCCGTAAATTTAGATACGATCCGGGTACATTTATCGATCCTTTAAATAATAGGTTACAAATTAAAAAATGCAATTAGATCTTTCCATATTGCTTTTATCGGTATAAATATTGCTTTTGTTATTAATAAATTAAAACCCAACTAAATATTACTGTAGTACACATATGTACATTCACGGTCCTACATTCTGTCATCATACAAGTTTAGCTAGCTATAAAACCAGGTTGAATCCACCATTTTCTAAATAATATAAAGGATGTACCAAGTCAGGTATATGACAGTTGTTTTCCATTCATTTGATGCGTTTGAGCTTTTGATTTTGCCATTTGATAAGGGACTTTCCGATTTGAATTTTCCTTGTAGTTCAGTATGTTTGTTATTTTACTTTTTACCTATATTTTGGCATCGCACAAGGTCATGATTTTCTCTGACTAATGTATTGTTTAAGACTTTATGTTAACCTCTAGACGTTTTTTTTTTATTTTGGTTAGTGGGCTGCTGTTTCATTGACATACCCCGAAACATTTTTTTATTCAAATTTTAATCTCTTTAAAGAATTCCCCGTTACTCATAAAATCAAACTAATATTCCGGTGCATGACAATAGTTGAAGAAAACTTAAACAATAATTTTGAAATTTTTCTTAATTTTGATCTAGCAAAAATGATTGAATCTAGAAGATGGGATATGTTACCTATACTTCCCCCATAACTTTGGTTATGGTTTTTGTGCCCTTTTTATTCATCTCTCAAATTTCAAACCTCAATAAAATTGAGAATGGAAATGGGGAATGTGTCAAAGAGACAACAACCCGACCATAGAACAGACAACAGCAGAAGGTCACCAACAGGTCTTCAATGCAGCGAGAAATTCCCGCACCCGGAGGCGTCCTTCAGCTGGCCCCTAAACAAATATATATACTAGTTCAGTGACAATGAACGCCATACTAAACTCCAAATTGTACACAAGAAACTAAAATTAAAAATAATACAAGACTAACAAAGGCTAGAGGCTCCTGACTTGGGACAGGCGCAAAAATGCGGCGGGGTTAAACATTTTTATGAGATATCAACCCTCCCCCTATACCTCTAGCCAATGTAGAAAAGTAAACGCATAACAATACGCACATTAAAATTCAGTTCAAGAGAAGTCCTAGTCTGATGTCAGAAGATGTAACCAAAGAAAATAAACAAAATGACAATGATACATAAATAACAACAGACTACTAGCAGTTGACTGACATGCCAGCTCCAGACTTCAATTAAACTGATTGAAAGATTATGTCTTCATCATATGAATATCAGGCACAATCCTTCCCGTTAGGGGTTTAGTATCATACCATCATAACATATATGAGAAGAACATAACCCGTGTCATGCCAACAACTGGTTTTTAAATAAATGTGTTTAGTTCCGATGCAAAGACCCTATAAGTGAATCAATATTAACGCCAAAATATGCAATCTTTAATGACCTGACAACAGTATCGTAACGATATCCCTTCTTAATAAGTCTATTTAAAGGTTTTGTTAGCTCCAGAGGTGAATACTGACATTTTTGTGTTTTATAAAGAATATTTCCTTAAAAAATTGGATGTGAAATACCTGAACGTATAAGAAGTCTGCATGTTGAGCTATATTTACGAATGATGTCCTTATACCGATGATAAAATTTAGTAAATGTTTTGACTAGTTTGTGATATCGAAAACCCTGGTGTAATAATTTTTCAGTAATACATAAATTTCTCTCGTTAAAATCTAAAACATTGTTACATACACGAGCGAATCGAACAAGTTGAGATATATAAACATCGTAAGATGGTGACAAGTGAACGTCACCATCTAAAAATGGATAATTTACAATAGGAAATGAAAAATCATCTCTTTTATCATATATTTTAGTATTAAGCTTTCCGTTAATGATATAGATATCAAGATCGAGGAAAGGGCAGTGGTCATTGTTAGTATTAGCTTTATTTAAAGTAAGTTCAACAGGATAAATTTCTTTAGTATACATACTGAAGTCGTCATTATTGAGAGCCAAAATATCATCCAAATATCTAAAAGTATTATTGAATTTGTGTATCAGATGTTGTTTCGATGGGTCTTTGCTGATTTTTTTCATAAATTGTAACTCATAGCAATACAAAAAAAGGGTCCGCAATAAGTGGTGCACAGTTAGTCCCCATTGGAATTCCGATAACCTGACGATATACGGAATCTCTAAAGCGAACAAAAATGTTATCTAGTAAAAATTCAAGGGCATATATAGTATCAAAGCATGTTCAATTGACATAGTTTTTTTGTTTATTGCTACTAAAAAATGATCTAAAAGAGTTTGAACATATATATTCACATTCTGACTTTTTAAATGCCCATTTAATTAGGTGTGTGAATTTTTTCTTAATGAGAATGTGAGGCAATGTGGTATATAGGGTAGAAAAATCAAAACTTTGAACAGATTCAAAATCACCAATATATGCATGCAATTTATCAAGTACTTCCAACGAGTTCTTGACACTCCAAAAGTAATTAATTCGACTATTTTCGAAGGCCTTATTTGAACAATTTATTATCAGGTTTTTGATTGTACCAAGTGTACTGGTAAGAAGAATAGACAATTTAGTAGTGGAACAATGGCTTGAAGACGAAATGAATCTATATTTGTAAGGTGTTTTGTGTAGCTTCGGAAGCCAATACAAAGTTGGGACTTTCATTGTATTTGGTTCTGCTTGTAAAGCGGTAGCTAAAAGTTTATGTTTGTTACAGATGTCGTTTTCTGAAAATGGAGTCAGTTGGAATGTTGGTGAATTTGTGATTTCTTTTTTCAGAACCTCAATGTATAGCTGTGATGAATTTTGTACAGATTTAAAGACCTTTTAAAAAATCCCATCAATGCGTAATAAATTTATGGAAAACTCATTTCCGTTGTTTGTATACCAAAGATTTTGGGAACTACAACGTATTTTCACAGATAAAAACACAGAAATTGCCCATACCACTTTTAGTTTTGTACTATTATATTGGCATACTTTCTCCTCGTAATAAC